AATTGAGAAATTAAAATGTAATTGTATTTTAATTTAATATTTGGAATAAGCTCACGGGATATTTGGCTATATAAAACGAATCTAAAAAGTAAAACTGAAAATATGTTTTAATTCAGTTTATTGATTAGAACTCATCGAATCCCAAAGTCATGTTATGATAGAAAAACAAAAAAAATCGGATATTGTTGTATTCATGAAATTAAATAAACGTCCTAAATAGATAGAGAAAATGTGGTATTGAAAAGTATAAATTATGAGTTAGAAATATTTAATGAGATAATTAAAGATAACTCATCTATCTGTTGAGATGAGTAGATATGTAAGAAAAGAAAACATTTCATGTAGTATCGAATGAATTATAGAATTCATCGAGAGGAGTTTACAACTGAAATCATAAGAATAGTAAGCTTTCGAACGTGGTATGAAATGAAGGTACCATATTGCTGAAAGTGCAGCAGATTTTCGAATTGATAATTAATATGGTCTTAGATTATTGAAATCGAAGAGAATGGGATGTCTACTTCGATAGATTTGATTGACAAAGTGAAGGAATTAATATAGAAGCCTTTGATCAATATAATACGTTTCATCAATATTTTGCTCAAGTGAAAATGATTCGAAAGAAGATAATCTTTGCTTTTAGGTATGCTTATGCAGAAAAGTATCGTTAGTGAAGTGTTTTCTACTCATAATAGATACATTATTCGATCGATATGCAATCAGAAATACAAGGATCAGCTTGCATAGTTATTTTGATGTTTTGTTCGATAGTGAAGCTCTCTGATATCATTCAAACCCGAAAAGGCTTAGAAAATAAGCAATCATTCGTTGAATATGTAGCGCGAAATATGCTCATTGCACTCCATGTGAGTAGACTACTAAAATTCATCTATAAAAAGTATTCGAACTATTCTGTCCTCTATTCTATCCTCTATTATTAAGACATCATTATAATCATATGCAACAAGAGTATCGAAGTTCATGATAAACTAGACGTTGCAAAGTCTTTTTTTAAATAAAATTTAGAACAAATATTAAAAGCACTCTTAAATAGTCAACCTGTAGCTAAGTTTCTCGTATACTGACAGTCAAAATAAAAGTTGTTCTTGACCAAAGTCTCTACTGAATGCGATGTAAATATAAGTGATTCCGACTCCCTCCCAAAACGTAAAATTTTATTAAAGATTCTAAAAAATATTCTCTGAAGGAAAAATTATACACAAGATTGTAGCATGATAAAGATCTTGTGTATATTGAGAAATCAGTGTTTTTTCATTATAACATTTTATTAATATTAGNATGAAAAAAACAATATTTTCTTTTTAATATATTTTTTTAATATACATATAAATAATAAATTCCCGCTCTTTTCATCGATTTTCAATGAAAACAACTATAGTTGACAAGAAGTCTTTCAGTATACAGATGATGCGTCAGGTAACAAAGCTACACGTATACGTGAGTTCCACATTTTAGCTCCGCAGGAGCTGCGCTAACAAGCTTTTTTATTAAATTTCATTGATGATTTTTCTAGTTGAGAAGCGATTTGAATTCGTCAATATTCTAGAGATACCTACACTCTAAAAAAACGGTAGTTTACCAAGCCCCCAAAAAAAGTTCAGTAGATTTGAAATAGCGTCCACATGGTTTGAAATGTTTAGAAAACAATTTTTCACTTCTACGAAACCCTTGAGGGTTCTTCACCAGGATACCCGGTTCAAACCATCACTTGCGAAACCTTTTTTTAAGTTTCGTAAAGCAAAAAAAAGTTTCGTAAGAAAATACGGAACCTTTCGAGTTTCGTATGAAACCCCAGTGGTTTCGTGCTAAACCCTAATAGTTTCGTAGTTTTTTTCTACGAAACTCTAAAGGCTTCGTATTTTCTTACGAAACTTTTTTTTGCTTTACGGAACTTAAAAGAAGGTTTTGTAGGGGATGGTTCGGACCGGGTATCCAGGTGAAGAACATTTAAAGGTTTCGTCGCAGTGAAAAATCGTTTTTTAAACATTTCAAATCATTTGGACGCTATTTCAAATCTACTGAACCTTTTTTGAGGGTTTCGTAAAGTACCGCTTGTTTTTAGAGTGTAGGCTTCCGTATCTTAGTTTAATCGATAATTATCGGAATTTAAAATGCTATCTCAATGAAAGTTTATAACAAAGGGAAAATAAAGCTGTATTAGAAAAAACTATAAAATAACTATTTTTGCAAACTATTTATAGTGTTTTCAAGTGAAACGATTTCTATTTAGAGTACAATTAGCGATATTGAGCTAAGATGAAAAAGACCACTTCATACAGATACAGAATTTCATGATGCATCTTTCTATGATAAAATTATATCCTTTTGATGAAAGAGAGAAGTCAGAAATAAAACATTGAAGGAGCCATTTATTCTGTCGTATTCATTATTTTATTTTTACAATTTATTATCGAAATACCTTTGCCTAAAAAATATGAAAGGAAAAAGTATTCATCAGAAACAGCGTAAGTAATGTCCCTTTCGACCTTCTTTCTTTAGAATCATTCTTGGATTATCTTTCGTAATGGTATGATATTAATGAATAATAAATGTATCCGTCTTAGATCCATTTTTTCTTTTTTCTCTTGCAATCATTCTTCTTCCCATTCTTTTAAAACAAAAAATAGCTCTTTAGAATGTGGCTCTGTCTCCTATTCCATATCATGTTTTTATTTAGCTACTATAAAAGTATTACTGAGAAAAGAAGAATAAAAATGTCACTAATCTGCGAAGTTACATAATAAAAGAAGAGAGTTTTTATATTTTCGGAGAGACATCTTCGAGCACAGCAATGCTGACGGAAGATTGTCGATCGTTTTATTGAAAGTCAAACCAACGCAATACTATTGTGAGCGAATGATGAGCATTCAATAACTGCAAGCAGTAGATGAAAGTCGCTCCAAGCTGTAATCTTTCCATCATCGTTATTATGTTTAATTAAAAACAATAATCGGCCATTTAAGTATGAATAATACTTTCTTTTCCAAAGGAAGTCTATAGAATAGAGACTTCAAGGCATATTACCGTTTCGATAGAGGCTATATAATAATGAAGTAGAATAAGAAGATTATTCAGAACCTTTAACAATGGTTCTTTATGCGTCAAGAGATCATAACTATGATAAAAGCTACCTTCTGATTATTACTTATAATAGCACAACACGTGTTCACTTCGATATATTAAGTTTTTTCATCAAGAACCAATTTTTATAATACCCTCACTAATAAAATTATTAACTGAAGATCAAAACCTAACAAGACAGTGAATATACTGAAATTGAAATTTCACTAGTACTGATAATAATGCTTTGTTTTCATTAATCGCCAAGACTGCTAGATATTTGTTGCTAATGGATCACCCTACTTTCATCTAGCTCTGTGTACTAGGAGCAGCTCGATCCTGAAAGAAAAAGTACAAATTTAAGTTAATCCCACTCAAAAAGTTCAAAGCTTTCATTGAATCTAAATAAGTTGTTGTCTTTTCCTTTCGTGATTCGACTATTCCTACGTATACAGAGTTAGATGAAAGCAAACGAATCAATTAGCAATAAACCTCCTGTAGTCTTGGAGGTATTTGAAAATGAAAAATTCTCTTCTAGGCCAATAAATATTTACTCTCGATACGTTTCTAATCAGAAGCATGACCGAGCCTACCGAGACCGAGAGTCTCGTCCGAGACTACCGAGACCGAGACTAACCGAGCCCGAGACTAATCGAGACCGAGACTAACCGAGACGGAGACTGGCCGAGACCGAGACTGGCCGAGACCGAGACTGACCGAGACCGAGACTAGCCGAGACCGAGACAACTCGGACCGGGAGTCTCGGCTCAGTCTCGGTCTCGATACATCCCTATAGTGAACTATTCATTCTCTTTATTTTGTCGAAAGAACTATTTGAATAAAGTGATTCTCAACAAGAAGATTGATGATCCTATTGTGGAGAAAATGAATTTAAATCCTTAGATTTTATGAAAACAATAAATTCATGTGTCTAATGACATTTGAATTCTAAACGAAAAATTGAGATAGAAATTTAACCATTCTCCAAATAAGCATTAAATAAATTCATTTTCGATGAAAAAAATTCTCCTTTGTTATTCTCATTGAAACTCGGTCATAATTAGAACTCCCACTTCCATCGGAATTTTTTTCCGAGAAGAATTGAGCGACGTTGAAAAATCGTCATTTGTCCAAGAATCTTATGAACTTGAATTTGAGAGCAAAATAAAGGAATAATAGATGGTTGACCCAAAGAACTGTAATGAATAACTTTGAGTTGAACAAAATACTTAAAACAAAACAATCGTTGTTAACAAAGTTGAGAGTTTAACTAACAATGATTTCTCGTCAAGTAACAAATCCTATTTCCATGAAATGACAAATTTTCTGTCTCTATTTCAGACTACCCATTACGTTCTCCGTCCAGCACCAACATTCATCCGAATGCTCGATTGCAACAGAACGGTATCACTGTGGCTGGAGGAAATCGACAAGGCAATGGAATCAATCAACTCTCTTACCCAAGGGGTTTGTATGTTGATGATGATCAAAGTGTCTATGTCGCTGATGAGTCGAATCATCGTATTGTGGAATGGAAATGGGGTGCGACGAGTGGCCAAGTGGTTGCCGGTGGAAATGGACAAGGAAGTGGGGCTCATCAGTTGTCTAACCCACAAGATGTGATTGTCGACAAAGAGAGAGATAGTCTCATCATCTGCGATTATTCGAATGATAGAGTGGTTCGATGGCCTCGTCGAAATGGGACAAGTGGAGAAACAATCATCTCCAACATCGATTGTGTGGGTTTGACAATGGACGAGAATGGATCTCTCTATGTCACTGACGAAGGAAAACATGAAGTGAGACGATATTAAAGAGGAGAATCTCAAGGAACAGTGGTTGCAGGTGGCAATGGAAGTGGAAATCGTCTCGATCAACTCTCTTACCCACGATACGTATTCGTCGATCGAGATCATTCAATGTACGTGTCTGAAAGGGGAAATGATCGTGTGATGAAATGGGTGGAAGGTTCAAAACAAGGCATTGTCGTGGCTGGTGGTCAAGGATATGGAAATGGTCTTACACAATTGTCTTGTCCTGGAGGAGTCGTTGTCGATCAATTGGGCACTGTCTATGTGGTCGATGACGAGAATGGTCGAATCATGGGTTGGCCCAAAGGAGCCACACAGGGAAGTGCCATTGTTTGTGGAAACGGTAGAGGAGGGCAATCGAACCAACTCAATCGACCCATCGGTTTGTCAATCGATCGACACGGCAATCTTTACGTCGTCGACTGAGGACATTATTCAGTCGAAAAATTCGAACTCCAGTGAAACAAATAATAAACAAACACTAGAGAAAAAATCTGAATTTTGTTTGCTTGTAATTAGGTGGAGTTGATTAATACAAGGAAAGACCAGAATTGTAAATCTAACTACACTAACACAGGAACGCTTGGAAAACTAGCAAATAGAAAAAGACAAACTGGGTGGACATCTGGGTGACTTTCCTCAAAAAACACAACATAAAAATCTCTCGGGAGATTCCAAGACTTTCAATAGATCGAGTAAACAGAAGCTTCGCGATTCTAGAAATCCAGAAATCTCTTAGAGGTTCACATAAAATAGGGGTTTCCCAACAATGATTCCCAGGTTTCGAACACTTACCACAACCTTCGCTTTCCTTTATTTCACTTATCATTTCTTTACCACCTAGACAACAGCGAGACGGAATAAAAACACAAGGGATTAAAGACGATCGCCTTCATGATAGAAAGAACCATGGATTTTCTCCTTCCTGCCAAGTCGTATTACACGCAGAACTACGAAAGGTATCTTCTCTCAATCCTACGAATCGAGGAAAACACTATGATCGTTACATTGGTCTCTAGAATAACTAACCCATGCTCGATTCAATGATATTCCTAACGTTTCAGTTAGTAAGACAGCGGGAAGCCTTGGAATGTTGTATATCCTGAAACCTTTATAACTTTACATCGGAGGCGAATTCCCAAACGAGGACTCAAAGAATTCGAAAGCTTCGAATCATATCTGCTCTTTGAATAATGAAGCGGATGGTGCATTTTATTATATTTCACCGATTCCAATAGATTACGCAAAGGGAAGCTCTGCAATCTTTGGAGTGCTCAAATTTATCATGCGCTCACACAGCGCAACCATTCTTAGTCAACGATCCCAAGGTTTCCAGGAGTTGAATCCATATCGACTCCTTGAATAATCATGGAGATGATGGATGCCATCATAGTCCTTGGATTCCAAAGTATCTTTAAACGGAAGCCTTGGAATCCTGGGAATGGGGATATCTATTATAGGTTGAAATAGCGCAAGAATTGTCAAACAACGATTCAAAAGTTTCCGATAGTGGAATCGAAGTCTCCTTTCTCAATAATGAAGCATATGATGGTATTTCTAATATTTGGAAGACTCTACTAGATCAGATCTAGGGATGTCTGGGAATCCTAGGAATTCTGAAATCCCTTAGATGTTCAGACAGCAGAGGAACAGCCGAAGATCGATAGTAAAGTTTCCATGTATTGGGGCCATTTCTACTCTTTGAATATGTTAGCGTCAGTAATGATAGACTCTGACGCTAAACGAAGATTAAGATGTTCCTTCTAGTCTAACTGACTTAGAACATGTGCCCGGAGAGCAGAAGGTGTTCGTTCGAGTCACGCGAAGGAAATCTTTTTCTTCGTTCTGTCACATAACATCAGTGATACTGCTTGTCCTTTCGCTCTATACATATCGAAGCTAACAGAATAGTGAAGGAGATGGTGGATTTTATGAAATTCCGGAGGTTCGTATAGATCAGAGAAGAGAACCCTTGGATTCACAGAAATGCGTAGATCCCTATATCTTCACAAAGCGCAGGAATCCCCAAACAACGTTCTAGGATATACTAAGGATTCTAATAGATCAGATAAAGGGTAGCCTGCGCATCCAATGAATCCAGAAATGGCTTATCGGTTCTCATAGTGGAGGAAGTTCCATCGCAGAGTTCGTAGGCTACGAAGCGCTGAGGCGATATGTGATCTGCTGAATGATGGAGGCTATGACGGATAGTTAGTAACAGATTTTAACTAGTTCTTGAGATCAGACAGAAAAAACTTTAAATTCTATTACACCAGAATCTCCTTATGTGTCCTATAGGATACGAATGGGAAAACACATATTCCGACGATAGCAAGACTTTAGACGATTTTTGATGTGAATACTAATGAAGACCATGATGTATTGTGTTGGATTTCAAGAATTCGAAGAGGCCAGACTGTGTGAACCGTGGGAATCTTACGGACCGCAAAATCGTTCAAATGCTAGTATAGGATGTGGTTTGTCAAAGAAAGAATTTAATGATTTGAAGAGTTAAACAACTCTATAGTGTTGAGAATAAAGTTTCTGATGGTGGTTTCTTTATGATCGTAGCCACTACAAGGGATCACACATATGCAATAGTTGAAATATCCTGTACGTGTGAAATCTGGAAGCATGGGGTTCAATGATTAGAGGACTTGAGCCTCTTTATACTCTTGTGGATTATGCGGACCACGATGGTTATTAGGAGCTTCGAGATGTGCTAAGTGGTCATAGTCAGCGAATACTTCTAATGCTTCGACCTATCGGTTCCGATAGTGTATCGAGAATGCATGTTTTAATAATTTGTGAAGTTTATATATTAGTTTTAGTTAGGATCCAAAGAAATATGAAGTGAGGAGTAAGATTAGAATATGTGATGCTGTGTGAGTTAGTTATCATAGAATTTACAAAAAGATTTTTCGATAGTTCCAATGGCTGAATGAAAATGTCATGCTTATGGTCAAAAACGCGAAAAGTTTGTCTTCGAAGAATTCTGTTTTCTGCCTTTGTACTACCTTACTTTATGTGGTTGTTCGGAATGTATCCCTTATTCACTGAAATGCAGCGCACGGACCTTAATCATCTATATTTTACGTTGTTAAAACGTATGTCGTGATGCCAATGCTGGGATGACTTTTTCTTCTCGTCTATTTATAATGAAAAATCGTTGGATGATCTCTGCTTCGGATATTGGGAAAAGTATGCAAAGGCAATATCGAAGTCAAGAGATGGATTCCTGTTATTGGAACAATCAGAATTAAATTCTCATAGATCAGCTTGGCAGATTGGTACACCACGTGTTCGCTGTCTGCATAGATCCAAAAGATTTGTATCCCACACAGACGTATTAGGTCAAGTGTTCAATTGGATGACAATGCAAGGTTCTGCTGACTCAGTTGTAGTACACAAGGAAGAAGAACTGCTATCTTTGGCTATGTTTCCGGAAAGTTTTTTTGTAAGAAATCTCCTTCAAAGTGATTATAGGTCACGATGACAAAAAAAAGAAAGGAACTAGAGAGAAGAAAGAAGGGAAGCGATAGCAAAAAAAAAAGAGGGAATACGAACCATGTGAAACAGCATGTCAGTGATAAAGAATAAAGTATGTGCAGAAAGACAAGAAGAAAAAAAAGGGATGAGGGAGAGAAGGGTAACAAAACAAAATAAAAAAATATATATATGCATATATCTACATATAGATACATAAGAATACATAATACTCGTATAGTCAAACAGGGTAGCTTGTAAAATATTTTATCACTGCTAATGTTGATCAATGGTTGTTAACTACTTGTGTATGATCTATTGCTGTTTCACGGTAGTCTTTATATACAGTGCTCTATTGATCGAGTATGCAATATCTGCTTAATAGAATGATACATCTTGGTTCTCGTTTTCTTTTCCTTGTCTACTTCATTTCGTCTTATTCTTTTGTCATATTTTTCTTTTTAATCATGTCTTTATTTCTACTTATCATAAAGTTTGGTGCAGCTACAGTGTCCCTTTAGGACCGACATGGTCATAGGACAAGATTGCTTAATAATAAAAACACGCGAAAAGTTTGTTTATTATCACTATTTTCTTTGGAAACTTTCCGTCATTTCATCTGCCATGATCATAGACGAGCTTAATGATGATTAGGATAGCTACTATACACTCTAAAAAAAATAGGTATTCTCGAAAACCCTTAGAGGGTTTCCGAGTTTGTTACTATAGGAAACCCTTTAAGGGTTTCCGAAGAAGGGTTTCCGAGGTCTCGGAAACCCATAGTACCCATTATAGCTAAAACTCAAATACCTCTTCGGAAACCCAAAGAAAAGGTTTCCGAATGCCGGTAAAGCTCTACCAAATTAGACTAGACAGGAATCCATCACTTCTCTGCTACCAGCAACAAGCATTCATAGCGGCCACAGACGTTCAATAAGGCTCTGCTGTGAAGCTATCCGTAGCCAGAAATAACTAGAACAGTCATTAAAGGTCGGCAACACATAGTATTCAGAGAAAAGCTTTAGTTATCCAGACGCACTTCATCGTACCATTACCAAACTATCACGAAGGTGAACACTGCGACCTTCTCCACCTAAAAAATGAAGAAACAAACCAATTTTTCGTAGAAAAATCATCTAAACTCACCCGTTTTCTTCGCATCCAAACCAATAATCACCCATTTCATGTAAAACACAATTCAACCGAAGTAGTTAATCAACGAATTTCGTAGCTCACCAAACGTTTCCCTACGATAATCATCTAAAAATAAGAAGAAAATTATATTTTAATTTACTAAATTGATTCGAACTCACCCGAACTTTTGAGAGAAAACGAGTCTAAGGATGAAAACAAAATTTGATTTTCATACAATAATTTGGACAAACTTCCTACATGTACTGAGATATAAAACGAATCTACAAAGAAAAATGAAACTGTTTTTTTAATTCAAAGAAGTTTTTCCAACTCACCAGATCTATGGATATAAAACGAATATAAAAATGAAAATAAAATTATATTTTTGTTTAATGCATTGCTTCAAACTCACCGGATCTATTGATATCATATGAGTCTAAAAATAAAACTGAAACTTTAATTTATAAAATTGATTCAAACTTACTGGATCGATCGATATTATATGGATCTAAAAATAAAAATAAAATTTCATGTTCATTTAGTAATTGGAATAAACTCACCAGATATATTGAGATATAGAACGAATCTAAAAGTAAAAACAAAATTTCATTTTAATTTAATAAATTGATTCAAACTCACTGGATCTATCGAAACCCCACGAATCTAAAAATAACAATAGAATTTCATTTTCATTTGGTATTTGAAATAAACTCACCAGATATATTGATAAATATCGATCGAATCTCCAAACCAAAATTAAAGATTATATTTTTATTTAATAAATTGAATTAACGCACGCTTTTTTC